GGCCCGGAGGGTGGGGGGGGGGGTAGCTGGTGGGCTTTTTTCTTGCAGCCAAAGGACTGGTGTACCTGTTGGATTTCTGGGGTGCAAACAGCGCGGCCGAGTTAACTTGAACAGGAAGACATCATCTGAGGGGTTGATGGTGCTCAGATAGCCCGGCTTGGAAATCAAGCAGGTGCCAGCCACACCACGTGAACAAGCTTTGCAGGTCCCCCTCCCGGCCCCCACTGGCAGCACTGCCCCTGAATGCCCAGCCCATGCTGAAACCCAGCCAGGATACACCTGTGAAGGATGCTGGATGTTCTATGGGAAGCACCTGGGGGTGGGAGGAGCCTGTGGTTCCCGCTGACATGCGGCCCAGGCAGCTGAGGATTTGGGCAAGCGCACAGGCTGGGAAGCCCCGTGATGGCAGCGTCCAGTCCGGCTCAGCCTCTGGGGTCCCCGTGGAGACCCACAAACACTGGGCAGGTACGCATTGTGCAGGAGCAATGAAAGGCTAGATCCTTCCTCCTCATGAGCGGGACAAGCTGCTCCTGTCCTAGGAGGGATGCCATGACCAAGAACAGGACCACGCTGGACCCTAAGCACCACAGCTGGGCCCCCAGGACAGGCTCAGGCACCGGACGAGCCGTTCGGACACGTGGTCCCGAGATGCCCAGGGCCGTCGCCCCTTCTCGGGGGCTGGAGGGATGGAGTGGCTTAGGGTCCAGCCGGGGAGCACAGTGCCGTCTGCCCCAGGGGCTGTGGGCATCCTGCACCTTGTGGTGAAGATGACGGCCCCACCAGGCTCGGGTCCCTGCTGCACAGCTGAGCTCACCCAAAAAGCGCCCCTTTCTTCCCTGATCTTTGTTTCCTCTGCACGAGTCGGGCTGTTGGCCCCATATGTCCATCTTAAAACCAGGTGTTGCTTAAAGGTCCGCAGACTGTAATAAACGTTTCCCTCGGGCTCGTTGGCTGTTTCCCCGCTCCGCCGGATCTTCCCATGGGATTTGCCGAAGCTGAACCCAGCAGGTGCGCCTGCTGCCCACAGGTCAGCCGGCCCTTCAGGACGAGGGTGCAGCTGTTGGGACTTCCGTGGTCCCAGGCAGGAATCGCGTTTCCAGCAGGGTGTTCCCAGTGCTGGTGTCGGCATGTCGGCGATGCCTTGGTGTCTAATGCGGTTTTTTTTTTTTTTTCCTCTGTTCTGTGTGTTTTCAGCTGCGTATGAAAACACAGAGCTCGCCAGCACCTACCTGGCCAGAGCCAGCCCAAAGTCCCAGCAGGACATGCTGCTGTACACGGCCAGGACCACCTACCTGGGCTGGGGCCACCTGGCCGCGGCTGTCAGGTGGGTGCGGTGTCGGGGGCGCTCCTGAGTCCCAGGGCTGCCTGGGGGCTGGTTTTCAGGGCATCCGAGGAATCGAAATGCCGGGTTTCTTGTAGAAACAAACGCGACATCATTAGATTTGGGAATCCGGAGCAGATGTGTGAGGTCACCTGGTGTCGACCGACGGAGTTCATCTAATGATGTCGTGATGAGAATCCTTGTGCTTCAGGAGCCTTCAGGGGAAGTAAGGGTGCCCCAGGGCAAAGCAGGAAGATAATCTGGAACATACGGGGGAAAACCCTGCGTGCTGCTCTGTGTGTGTGACGGCTGTGCTCCACACCGGGCCTCTCAGCCTCACCCCGCTGGCATCTGGGGCTCGGTGACTCTCTGATGTGGGGCGTCCTGGGCCCTGCGGGGGGCGGAGCAGCTTCCCTGGTCTCCACCCTCCAGGTGCCAGGAACACCCCCTCCCCGCAGTGCGACAACCAACAATGTCCCCAGACATTGACAGGTGTCTCCTGGGGGCAGAATCGGCTGTAACTGGGAATCACTACGGTAGAGACAGATGGTTAGAGCTACAGGTAAGTGATGGATATTGATAGATCAATATTTTTAGATAAAAACTGATAGATAAGTAATGATACATTATAGATGATTGACAGACGATATTGGCAGTTTGATAGGTGATTGATAGATATAGATAGATATTGATAAAATGATAGCTATTGATAGGTATGGATAGATGATAGGTAGATAGATGGATCTATAGATACATGAATCTATAGGTAGATGTTATTGATAGATAAATATTGTTAGATAAATGCTGATAGATAAGTACTAATAGATAGTGATCAATAGATGACAGATATTGACAGATGATTGATAGGTAATACGGATAGTTTGAGAGATAGATGATGATGGATGGACATTATTGATAAATACTGATAGAAGATGATAAATATTGATAGGTGGGTCTAGATAGATGATAGAGAGATAGATGAATACAGCAGTCCCCAACCTTTTTGACACCAGGGACCGGTTTCATGGACGACAGTTTTTCCACGGACGGGGCGAGTGGGTGGCAGGATAATTCGGGCAGTAACGCAAGCGATGGTGGGATAGTTCAGACGGTAATGCGAGCCGTGGGGAGCGGCAGATGAATCTTCGCTCGTTTGCCCCCTGCTGTGTGGGCCCGGCTCCTGACAGGCCGTGGACCGGCACTGGTCCGCGGCCCAGCGCTTGGGGAACCCTGGCTGGATAGATGATAGATAATAAGTGATGGCTAATGGAATTATAATAGGTGACTGATAGAATCTCTGATGCTAGGTCAGGGTTTCTCAGCACGACTGACATTGGGGCTGGGTGACCCTCTGATGTGGGCATCCCAGGCCCTGTGGGCTGTGGAGCAGCTTCCCTGGTCTCCACCCACCGGGTGCCAGGAGCACCCCCTCCCCCAGTTGTGACAACCAACTGAAGACACTGATATTGTTGAGAACCGTGGCTCTGCATTTTCTTTCTTAATTATTTTAACTTAAACCCCATCTTGAGCCTCTGGTAGCTTAGCTGTGAGAACCCGAGGACCCAGTTCTGCCGCTGGTTTTGGAAAAGATACAGCTCATCAGATTCACGCTTATCGTCATTGTTTGATTTCACATTTCTCTTCCAAAATCACACCCACGCGAGACTCACCGCGCACGTGGCGTCGATGCTGTTCTGAGTGTCTCCAGGTGGCCCAGGGCCGGTGTGTGCAGTGCATCAGGGTCGGGCCCCCAGCTTGGAGCCAAGGGGACTCTCAGTAAGTCTCTGAGGGAGACCAAAGCGTCAGGGGTGTCGTGTCACAACCAGACAAGAGAGCACAGCAGGGGCAGTGGCACATCAGAGCGTGGACGCCTGTCTAAAGGGTCAGCCCCCGTCAGCTCCCACAAGTTATGCCCACGCAGCCATGGGGTGACAGCCGCCCCAGCTTCCGAGCTTTGTGTTTTACGAGAAGCAGGATGTCTCGATTTTAAGGGGACGTCCCCTGAGTTTTTGACCTTGGGGCCCATTCAGTTAAAGAAAGAAGCCGTGAGAAGCAAAGCAAGCAGAGCATGAACTGGGCACAGCCCAGAGGACACCACCCGAGGGTGCAAGTAACCAACGGCGCCTCCACATCTCCGCAGCTCCTGCTGGACCTTCTGGATTCGGTCCGAGGGACTTCAGTGCTTTGTCCCACGTGCAAAAGGAGCCTCTGGTTTGGGGGCAACGGAGAGTAACAGGCTTCTTCCTACTGCCTCGTGCTGGTGTATCTGGGTCCCACGCGTAGGCACGGATCTCTGCTGCTGTGTATTTTTCATCAGTGTCTCCCGGAGTTCAGGTGGGAAAGAGATGCCTCACCTGACAGAAGGCTGGGTCACCTCATATCCATGAAAGGAGCAGGGGCTGACTGCGGCCAGACTAGATCCAGGATGGAAGGAGGACACACCGCAGGGAGCCAGCTCACCCGTACATCAGGCAGCGGGGCCCAAGAGGACCCAGAAATCCCCCCCACCACCCCGGCCTCAGGGGAGTAGCAGGAAGCTGTGGGTAGACCCGCTGGCCCTCCAGCTACAAGGACGGCCCCATCCCCAGGTGCCAGGGGCTGAGTCCTCCTGGACCGAGGCATCGCCTCACTTCACGGCATCTTCACACCGTCTTTAGACTGTCCTTCGTTTCTTCTTTCCTCACATCAGAGAGGCCTGCTAGACGGGTAACCTGCATCTCTGAATGTGCAGTTATTTATTGCAAACTAGAAAGGAATTCATGAGTGTCTTGGGTTACTTGTTTCCTGTTTGTTCTGTCTGTGAGCACCAGTGTGCGGTACCTAATGTGCAGTAAAGTCTCAGAACCTGAGTGATGCCCGCCCCGTTTTCAGAGACAGGAGGAACCAGTATCTGAAGGCCATTGGGGTTCCCTCCGAGGAGCTCTTCACTGCCATCTACAGGTAACGCCAAGCAACTGCTTTTTTTTTTTTTTTTTTTTT